AAGGGGCTGGACTAGAAGACCTCCAAAGTTCCTTTCAACCCTATTATTCTATGTTCTATGAATCTCTTTCTTCCTACTCCAGTGTTAAGGAGGGGGAAGGATTGCTCTCAACTCACCACCAGCCTGCATTTGCAGAACACATTTAAAAAAAATACCTATTTTCAGATGACGTGGCAAACTGAATTAGTTTAAGCCTTGGTTTAAGTTTGCCAGGCTTAGTTCATTGCGTGCATCTACTGCAGTCTATTTGGCTCGTGATTTATGGGCCAGCCAAAGGTGCTTTTCAAAAGACAGTCGGATTATCTTGGTTTTTATTTTCCTTGAAAACGTTTCACTTTTCCCAGGATTTGAGGGGCTGCCACAAAGAAGAGGGGATCAATCTATTCTCCAAAGCACCTGAGGGCAGCACAAGAAACAACGGGTGGAAACTAATCAAGGAGAGAAGCAACTTGAAATTAAGGAGAAGCTTCCTAACAGTGAGGACAATTAACCAGTGGAACGGAAGTTGCCTCCAGAAATCGTGGTTGCTCCATCACTGGAGGTTTTTAAGAAGAGACTGGACAGTCACTTGTCTGAAATGGCATAGGATATCCTGCTAGGAAACCTCCAGGGTCCCTTTCAGCTCTATTCTGATTCTGATTCATACAGTCTGCTCACCAAAAGACCAGACGTCCGATTTGCTGCTGAACTTGTTGTAGAGAAGAACCTCTGGAGGAGACCACCGGACTGGAAATTTGGCTCCCACAGAGCTGATGTAGTCATCATCCAAGACATACCTGGAAGGAGAAGATTGGGTGGGCTACTTGACGCTGTAATCCTCAAGCCAGTAACTCCAATGACTCCCAGTCCATTGAAAAGAAACGGACCATTTCTCAACCTTGGCAACTATCCCAACCTGCAGAGCCATTGGCACCGAAGCTCACCTGGAAAGGCCGAAATCAGAGACTTTGACCACCCCTTGTTCGTTGACCAAGCAATTGCGAGCGGCCTGTGACAGAGAGATCAAGAGAGGAAGATTCATATATAAATAGTGTGATGCCATAATAAAGCATATCCATGTTTATACAGTCATAAATTTAAGATTACCGTCTTCTGAGTCAGAATGCCCAAGCTTGTTACAAGATTCTCTGGATAGAGAATTGACTGTAAATATTTTAAAGAAAGAAATTTCCTTTGGACAGAAGGAAGAAGTTCATCCAGTGCAGAGGTGGGTTGCTAGCAGTTCGGGCAAACTAGTAGTGAAAATTGTGACTGGGTCACTGAACCGGTAGGGACAGCTGGCTGGCCGCACCCCTGAACTGGTTCCCTGGTCGACCATGTTTTTTAGTCCTTTTTTAATCTTCTGTGCATGCGCAGAACAATTTATAGGCAACTGTGCACGTATGCAAAGCATGAGCACAGCAAACCGGCAGTAATGCCGGCAACAACTCACCCGATACAGTGCCAGGGAGGGACAAACTCCCAGAAACTATACGGTCCCTGCATAGTGTGAACTTTGGACCTCTGACGGGACTTTCACCCCCATTCTAGAACCTCCATCAGCATCCCAGTTTAACCAATGCTGATGACACTTTCATCCCTGTTCTAGAACATCTATTATCATCCTAGTTTGACCAATCCTGATGATACTTTCATCCCTGTTCTAGAACCTCCATCATCATCCGTTTGACAAATCCTGATGACAATTTCATCCCTGTTCTAGAACCTCCATCATCATTATCTGAGTTTGAGCAATCCTGATGGTACTTCCATCCATGTTCTAGAATCTCCATCATCATTATCTGAGTTTGAGCAATCCTGATGGTACTTCCATCCATGTTCTAGAATCTCCATTATCATTATCTGAGTTTGAGCAATCCTGATGGCACTTCCATCCATGTTCTAGAACCTCCATCATCATCATCCCAGTTTGACCAATCCTGATGACACTTTCATCCCTGTTCTAGAACCTCCATTATTATCCCAGTTTGAGCAATCCTGATGGCACTTTCACCCCAGTTCTAGAACCTCCATCATTATGAGTTTGAACAATCCCAATGGCACTTTCAGCTTCCATTCTAGAACTTCCATCATTATCTGGGTTTGAGCAATCCCGATAACCCTTTCACCCCTGTTCTAGAACCTCCATCAACATCCCAGTTTGACCAATCCTGATGGCACTTTCACCAGTTGTAGAATCTCTAACCTCCATCATTATCCCAGTTTGAGGATCTGATAGTGCTTTCACCCCAGTTCTAATATCTCCATCATTAGATTGAGGGTTCCTGATAGCATTTTCACACTCGTTGGAGGAGGAAGCTGTGGTCTTCCAGTATTATCAGACATCTCCAGAATCTGGTACCAGTCGCTAGGTTGGCTAAGGTCACAGAAATGTGTCCTGCAGCAACCTCTAGAAGGCCACAAGTCATCCACACCTCATCCATGATAAGGTCACCGGTGGCAGCACAACCCAAAAGACATTGACTTGAGTTTTCTCCCTTGATGAATTAAGCAGTACGTCACCTACCAGGTCCCTGTGTAGAAATTGTTTGGATTCCAGATACTCCATGGCCTCACAGACATCCTTGCACATATCTAAAAGCTCAGTGGCCTGGAAGGACCGCCGAGTATCCCGCAAGTAGGACAAGAGGCAACCTTTGGACATGTATTCTGTGATAATCAAGATTGGTCTTTCCTTAGTGCAAACCCCAAACAGTTGCACCAGGTTTGCATGGGAGAGATTCCTGAAAAGGAAAGCAAGAACCTCATTGATTTAGAAATTCACCTGTGTCCTTCATCCCTGTTTTTCCCATCAAATGGCGAAAATAAGGAGCAGATCAAAACCACCATATAATTTGTTCAGCTTGGACTTAGCATTTTTTCAGGAACTCAACTGTGGTCTTTCAGACAATCACTGTGTGCTCTGTAAAGCACTGACCATGGTTTATTTAAAGAATAAATCCTGAGTAAACCAGCCTCAGTTGGCGTGGTGTGCAAACCCAGGACTTCCAAACTGGCTTTTTATACAAGTGGCAGGAAAGAAAAAATGTCCAAGAGTAACATTCAAATTCATTGCAAAGAAAAGTCTTACTTCTAGCTGCAGACAGAAGAGTATTGTCTTCAAGTTAACAATTGAGAAGTATCTACCCAAATACACTTCCTTTCATGATAGGGCTCCAACAAGAGCTGAGTTGAAACAAGTCTCAGCCTCCAACATGTGTGATGGACCCAGGGGTGGGATTGAAAAAAATTAGCAACCAGTTCTCTGCCCGGTTTCTGGGTGGGAGTGGCCATGGAGGCATGGCCTAGTCGGCTTCCGGAGTGTTTCCAGACTTCCAGTAGGCCTGTTTTTCACCCTCCCCAAACTCCGGAGGCTTTTCTTGAGTCTATGGCAGTGGTGGGTTGCAGGCGGTACGCTCCGGTACGGGCGTACCGGATCCTGCCCGGAGCACCCGGTACCATTCCGGGACAGTGCTCCAGAGGGGCCCCCCTTCCGCCTGCCTTCCTTACCTGTGCTTTAAGCCTTTGGTGCTTCCGCAAATGGCGCGAACGGAGCCTGCACAATGCTCCGCCAAGCAGCTGGAGCATCGCAGCGGCTTGCAGAAGCGTTGCAGGCAAGTACGATACATGCACGCATCCACATGGGTGATGCCGGGGCTGTTCCAACCGTACCGGTTGGAACCGAATCCAGAGCCCACCACTGGTCTGTGGGAGGGCCAAAATGGCCTCCCCTGGGCTCCAGAGGTCCTCCAGCGGCTGGAAACAGGCCCATTTCCGGACTTCCGGTAGGGCCATTTTTCGCCCTCCCGGAGCCTCCGTGCGAGCCCTGCACTTATATGGCATGATGAACAGGCCGCGTGGAGATTTCTGGGAGGAGCAGGGAGGGGTAGGCGGGGTCAGCTGGTTCTTGTAACTACCAGTTCGGCGAACCAGATTAAAATTAACATCTGGTTCACGCGAACCGGTCCGAACCAGCTGAATCCACCCCTGCATGGACCCCACTGGGCAATCTGAAAGTCCAGAGATTCCTTCAGAAATTGGAGCGGGATCTCAGCAAGCATAGCAAGAGGAAAAGGATGTTGGGAGTAGAAGTTGAACAACATCTGGAAGATGACAAGTTCTCTACCCTGATCTAAAGGAAAGTCCTGATAGAGAAAAAGAGGAGATGTTGGCTCACATCATGACTTTGGCTTCATCGATAAAGGCATCTTCTGACATGCAGCCTTCTTTGATCATCTTGATGGCCACGTTGTGTTGGCCTCGCCACTTGCCGTGCTTCACCACTCCGAACTGGCCTGTCCCCAGCTCTTTCAGAAATGTCAGTTCTTTCAAGTCAATCTCCCACGCCCCTACGAATGACACAAAGGAAGGGGGTGTGTGGAAATCCAGTTGGATGAGAAGAAGACCATCATGGACCATTTCCCACAATGTCCCAAAACATCTAATGTAACTTCACTGAAGGCCTTGTAGGAAGCAAATGAATCAGAAGAACCACACATCAGATATAATATATAGGCTATGTTCACTCAACGTGCTACTGAATTAACTAGTTTAATACTGGCTACTGAATTAACTGGATTCACACAATGTGCCCAACATGAACTACGGAATGGAATGGAATGGAATAGAATAACAGAGTTGGAAGGGACCTTGGAGGTCTTCTAGTCCAACCCCCTGCCTAGGCAGAAAACCCTACACCACTTCAGACAAATGTTTATCCAACATCTTCTTAAAAACTTCCAATGTTGGAGCATTCACAACTTCTGGAGAGAAGTTGTTCCACTGATTCATTGTTCTAACTGTCAGGAAATTTCCCCTTAGTTCTAAGTTGCTTCTCTCCTTGATTAGTTTCCATCCATTGCTTCTGAGAGAGCACAGCGTACAAAATGCCAAAGAAAGAAAGGAAAGCTGAACATCTGCTAAGCTGTTTATGGATCTAATTCAGTGAACCCAACCAAAGGGATCACACAGTTAAGGACACCCAGTTATTACCGTATCCAAGTCCTGCAGTGGAAGGAGCAGATTTTTGCTGTGTTGACACAGGATATTTCAATCGGGAGATAAGTCCTGGTGGATAAAAATAATGAGGTTATTAGATTGTTCACCATAAGAATAAAATAAAATAATAAATAATAAAAATAATATAAAAAATAAATAAAATAAATAAAATAATAAAATAAAATAAGATAAAATAATAAAATAAAATAATAAAATAAGATAAAATAATAAGATTAATAAAATAATAAAATAAAATAATAATAAAATAATAAAATAAAATAAAATAATAAAATAATAAAATAAAATAAAATAATAAAATAATAAAATAAA